AGAGAGAGAGGGAGAGCGAGTTTCCCAAGCGGGTTCCACGCTTAGCACGGAGCCTGCCATGGAGCTCGATCTCACAAACTGTAAGACCATGACCTGAGCCAAAACCAAGAGTCGGATGCTCAACCGAATGAGCCCCCCAGGCGCCCCAAGAATTACTTCCACATAAAAGAAGAAATATGACTACAACTGCATGAAACAAACATTACATAATAAAGTTTGGATAAAATCTTCCTTAAAAATGTATGTCGCGTGAAATTAGAAACAATATAGAAATGAATCAATGAGGTCACTACCTACCAAATCCTGTGAAATATGGTCAAAGTGAGAGTCAGAGGAGATTTCACACAGTTAAGTGAAAATATCAGAAATCAAAGAAGTCTGTAATAACTGACTAAGCACACTATATTCAAGAGGTTAGAAAAAGGACAGTAAAATAAGTCCCCCAAGAGTAGACGGTTAGAATTACTAAAGCTAAAAGAGCTTTAATGAAATAAAAAGCGGCAGCAGATTTGAGCACTAAAACCCAAAGTTAGTGTGTACCATTCAGGAGTCCCCAAATAAGAGGCTTAAAATTTGTCTCCTCTCCTCATTGGTGGTGGCTTCATCCTGAGTTGGTTCCTTTGTTGAAAAACAGTTTGCCAGGTGATGTACAGAAGTGCCGAACCACTATATCGCACACCTAAAACTAGTATTACACTGTATGCTAACTCACTGCAATTTAAATTAAAACTTTAAAAAAAATGGTTGTCAACAGCCCACATCCTTCTGCTTCCTCATCCACATTCACAGAAAGAGTGTGCATGCCCCTCTTCTAACCATGCCTTACGCTGGCTGGGTGACCCAACTGGGGTCAGGTGGCGGGGGCACTGCACTATGCTAACTCGATCAGACCAATGAGCCACTCCTTCTGGGAGCTGGGAGTGTGATAGCTTTCCCCTAAAGAACATGAGCAGCACAGCAGAGGGGGTGGGCCGCTGACCAGGACGTGGGGTAATATGAGGGTCGGATGGATACCATGAAGCTAAGTAATAAGGTATGCCAGATGGATTTCTAAAAACACCTACGGGGCGCCTGGGTGGCGCAGTCGGTTAAGCGTCCGACTTCAGCCAGGTCACGATCTCACGGTCCGTGAGTTCGAGCCCTGCGTCAGGCTCTGGGCTGATGGCTCAGAGCCTGGAGCCTGTTTCCGATTCTGTGTCTCCCTCTCTCTCTGCCCCTCCCCCGTTCATGCTCTGTCTCTCTCTATCCCAAAAATAAATAAACGTTGAAAAAATAAATAAATAAAGTAAAATAAAAACACCTACGAAACACAATAAGCTGGCAATTGTAATCTTTAAGTATTAAGAAAAGGTCAAGAGTACATATATAAATGTTAGAAATGGGAAAGAAGCCATAGGTTCAAATTTTATACATCAGTTTGAAATGTAAGAATCTAAGTTTAAAAAAAAAAAAAAGAATCTAAGCTAAAGTAAGTGATTATACTAAAATTTATGCAAAAGGAAATGAGAAACCCAACTCAGCCAATAACTATACAAGATAGTTTTTAAAGAGTCAGAGATTCGTTTGTCCTTTAAAAAGCTATTAGGCCCAGTGAGTTTTATGTGCACAATTTATCAGACGTAAGGAATAGATAATGCTGCTGTTACAGACACTTCTCTGGGACATAGGAAAATACCAGAAAGCTTCTCAACATGTTTTAAGAGGCTAGCACAGCAATGACACCAAACTTGAAGAAACAGTACAACAGAAAGGAAAGGTGTAGACCAATCCAACATTGGGGAAGAACTTCTAAACAAGATTCCAGCAAATTGAATTCACAATGTGTTATGGAATTTACCTAAGAAATCTACTAAGAACTGGTAATGAATTTCATTATGAGAACAAATTAAATAAGAGAAACCATATAATCATCTTAATTGTTCATTACTGCATCCGCAGGGCCCCAAACAGTGCCGGACACAGAGAAGTCTCTGTGAAACAGACTAACTAGGAACTATCTGTGAAACAGACGAATACTGAGATACACACATATCCCCCACCCCCCACATCGTGGCTATTTCACACTGTGTTGAGGGTCACAGGCAGAGATGATGAAATAAATGGTACAATTTTCAAAAAGGACAAGACGTAGCTGTCACCATTTTAGGTAATTTGATTAGCCAAAAATAAGGCAAAAGAAATCAACTGAGAAACTGTTGAATTAAGTCAGTTTGGCAAGATGACCGGGAATCAAGATCACTATTTTTTTTTTTTTTTTAATCAACAGCTTTAGGGGCACGTGGGTGGTTCAGTCCATTAAGCGTCTGACTCTTGATTTCAGCTCAGGCCATGATTTTGCAGTTCACAAGTTTGAGCCCCACATCGGGCTCTGCGCTGACAGTGCAGAACCTGCTTGGGATTCTATCTCCCTCTCTCTCTGCCCCTCCCCCACTTTCTCTCTCTCTCTCTCTCTCTCTCTCTCAAAAAAAAAAAAAAAACAAACTTTAAATAAGTAAATAAATAAATAAATAAATGGCTTTAAAATACCTAACATATAAAGTTAGAAAACAATAAGGGTGCCTGGGTGGCTCAGTCAGTTAAGCCTCCAACTCCTGATTTTGGCTCAGGTCACAATTTCACAGTCCATGAGTTTGAGCCTTGCATCAGGCTCTGTACTGACAGTGAGAAGCCTGCTTGGGAGTCTCTCTCTTCTCTCTGTCCTTCCTCTGCTCATGCGCGTGCTCACTCTCTCTCTCTCTCTCTTTTTTTTAAATATATAATGGGAAAAGATATCACCCACAATAAACATAACCAAAATTTGTGAAAACCAAACTCAGTATGTTTCCAGACATCCTGGAGTAGAAGAGCTGAATGAATGGAGACATATACCACACCCCTGGCTAGGAATTCAACATTGTGAAAATGATAGTTCTCCCCGTATTAGCCTGTGTGTTTAATTTCAATTCAAATACCAACAGCACCTCTAATGGAAATTGACAAACTGATCGTAAAGTTCACATGGAAGATAAACTGTAGATTAGGCAGTATTTTTTTTAAAAAAGGGGGAGCTTTTGCTACCATTTCACAAAACATAACATAAAGCTATTTGAAACAGTACAGCACTACCCTAGGGACAAACAGATCACTGGGAAAATAACAGAGGTTTCAAAAACATACCATGAATAGATTAAGACTTCCTTATTGTGAATGCAGATTTTCAAATCAGCAGGGAAAAGACAGACTCTACAAGAAATAGTATCAATGGAACTGGCTCTCCAGTTGGAAACAGAGTCAGATCCCCACCTCACACCACACATAAACAGAAATTTCAAATGGATTACAGAGTTATACACACAAAAAAATAAATTTATCAAAATAATAGGAGAAATATGGGAAGACAGCTCTTATAATCTAGAGATGGAGACGGCCACCTTCAGCTAGGTGCAAAATCCATAAAGAAGTAAAGACTGACGGATTTGACTCCATAATAATTTTAAAGGTCTTTATGGAAAAATTCCATAATTCCATCTACTCCACATATTTCCAGGAGACAAGACAATATTTGTAAAATAACTGAGCAGGGCTCAGTATTCAAAAAAGACAAACCCTTTCATAAAAGAAAAGCAACCCAATCTTAAAAATAGGCCAAGTATATGAGTAGAGGATTTACTAGAGAAAAAGTATATCTTTTATGAGCAAACACATGCAAAGATATTTTTCCAATCAAGAAAATCCAAATTAAAACAGCAATGATACAGGCACCTGGGTGGCTCAGTTGGCTGAGTGTCCAACTTCGGTTCATGATCTCACAGCTTGTGAGTTCAAGCCCCACGCCGGGCTCTGTGCTGACAGTGCAGAGCCTGGAGCCTGCTTCGGATTCTGTGTCTCCCTCTCTCTCTCTCTACCCCTGCCCCACTCATGCCATGTCTCTCTCTGTCACTCAAAAGTAAATAAACTTTTTAAGAATTTTTTTAAATAAAAAAGGCAGCAATGATACAACTTTCTATCATTGGATGGGCACCTTTTTAGAAGGTTAATAATATCCATTTTTGGCAAGAGGGGAAATATTCACCCTCCTGTACTGTAGATATGAATGTAAACAGGCTCAGCTTTGGGGAGGAATACATCTGGTAGTACTCATCCAAAATTATTAAATTTGTGTTTCCTTTGATGACCATCCCCCCCTCAGCCCCTCGGGAAGACAGCTGCAGAAATGTTTCAGAGCGTACCATCCCCCACCCCCACCACGCACACGCACACGCACACGCACACGCAGGAGGGTTTTAATGGCAGCACCACCATCATGCTGACAAGTCAGGACAGCCTAAAATTTGGTGCTGGTTAAATAACGTATGTCACACCCGCGCAGAACCCAGGCAGGAATGTAAAATTATGAATAGCCCTAGGTATTGACATAGAAAGTGTTTTAAGGTGTGTAATTTTTTAGTGTAGGCTATTAATAACACATATATAAGATCTCATTTATTTTTTAAAAATAATAAAGACATTTTATTGAAGGATGCCAGCAGAAATTACTCCTGGGAAAGGCAGCGGCATGGGTGGCTGAGAGGGGGGGATTCTTTATATGTATTTCTGAACACTTTCAGTAAATCACAAGAATGTATTCAGATATTACTTGTAATCTTTAAAGAAAATTTTAAAAGCAAAAAAACATGAAACCCTAACCCTAACCTTAATCCTAAATTTTTATAATCAGTTTTTAGTGCCATTTTTAAAAAAAGAAAGCAAGCTATATTTGGAGCACTTTATGTGGGTCCTTCCTACTGTCAGCCTACAGGGCATGCTTCGGCTGCCCCCTTCCAGCCGGCCCACTTTACAGATGAGGAAACAGATGAGGCCTGAGGCCCAGGCCCTTTCCCTATGGCCCTGGACTAGTGATATAGCAAAAACCATCAGCCTCCACTCTGGGGAGTCTGCTGGCAGAATGAATTCTAGGAGGCCCTGCCCTCCCACCCACCCTAACCTCCCAGGGTCGCCCAGAAAAAAAGAACAGAGCCAGCTCACATTTGCACAAATTTAATCCCGGCTATCCTGGTCCCCAATTCCAGAGCTCTTCTAGGCCACACGTCCCTTTTCCTGGTCACCCAAGGCCTAGTCATCCACCGCATCCCTCCCCATGGGGAGGCCAAAGCAGGGCCCCATCCTCCCGGGGGCCACTCTCCCCACCTTGACTCTTGTTGAATACCGACACAGGAACTGGGTCTGACCTTGACCTGGAACCTGGACCCATAAAGCACAGGCAAAGCAGGGAGAAGAGAGAAGAGAGATCAGGGGCCCATCTGGGGCTGCAGCAGCCAGAACAGGAGTAGAAGCCAGGCAGAGGTCTGGGGGCCTGAGAGAGCCCCATTACTTATTTGCTGCTTGATCCATTTGCTGTATTTGGTGACACGGGTGTACACGCCAGGATTCTGCGCTTTGGCACAAGCCTTCTCCCAGGACAACACCCCAGCCAGAATCCACTTGCCCTCGACTTCACAAGCCAACGGACCCCCAGAATCCCCCTAAGGCAAAGAGAGAGGAACAATGGAAGCCCTGGGCCCCGTGGGGACCCAGGACCCCAGAGGACCCAGAATGCCCACCCTGAGTTCTGTCTGGAAGATTCTTTCGCTCCTTGAGGTCCTCACTACATGGGGCCCTCCTCCTTCAGCTCCTCAGTTGTGGACCGATCCCAGGGTTATCAGGCAAAGGCAAAGTCACAGGGGATGGGAGCAGAGCATCGCCTGGTGATGCTGACAGACAGGGAAAAGCCCAGCAAGCCCCTCCCCAGGAACTTCCCCTGCCCCCACCCTGGGAGTCACTGCCGAGAGAAGCGCTGCCAGAACCGCCCAGAAACTCACAGAGCACAAGTTTTCTCCATAATTGGTGGCACAGATCACGTTCCCCAGGACAAGGGGGACAAGGTGGGGGATGAGGGACTTCTTGCGGTAAATCCGGTTGCACCTCTTGTTGTCCATGATAAACACCTCAGCTTCCCGCAGCTCTGGGGTCAGCGTGGAGTTGGCTGTGGAGGAGCCCAGTGGGGTGAGAAAGAACTTCTCACTCCACTCAGCCCTGGCCTCTCCCCAGTGTCCTATCACCTCCATTTCTGACACTCGGCCAAGCCACATCCCTTCACACCCCCGTGCCCGCCTTCACCTGCCTGTCTCCCTCCAGCGCGGACCATGTCTGGCAAGCCCCTCACCCTCTGAGGCTTTCAGGATCCCTCTCTGTGGGCAGCAGCTGCTTCTGAACCGAGCAGGCCACAATCCAAGTTTCAATGCAACCACTTACAGCTGGAGACCCCAGCCCCATACTGCTTCTCTCCGGCCTCTGAGCTTGGCACCGGCTGTGCCCTCTGTCACCTGATTAACAGTCGCTCCTCCTTCAGGCTTCTCAGACGCTCCTCCCAGATCCCTCCCGGCTGGATCTCGAGATCACCTGACCAAGTCTCGGCCTCCTTCCTTGCCAGCCTGCGCCCCCACCCCCACACTCAGGATGCCCCGCAGGTAGGGCTCGTGTTCCCAACGCAAGGGGGCTGGGGTGCGCCAGACGCTCGAGGCTCGTCAGGTGAATGAATGAGTGAGTGAGTACATTTATGATTCCCTGACTCCGAGCTTCTGTAAGACACAAAAGATCGTGCCCAGCGCAGGCGTCGCTAGACCTGCGTTAGTGCCCACAGCAGCAAGCCCAGTGGTGTAAACCGTGAGGACCGTCCTAACACATCCAAACAACTGCCCAGAGGTGGCAGCCACAAGCTTCCTGAGAGGCACCGGGAAAGGGTCTAGCAGCCGAGGCCCCAGAAGGAAGGCAGCACGCCCTCTGTGGTTCCACACCCCACCCTCAGCCCATCGTGCTCACCTGAGAAGCGCTGTTTCACCTGGCCCCAGCCAGTCTCCCAGCACTGCGTCCCAACCTTCAGGTTGTAGCCGGCCTCTGGGAGGCAGATGGGCTGCACGTACTTGCCGAAGATAGCCGGGGTCCGAAGCTGGAGAAGGGCAATATCGCCCATGATGAAGGTCCGGCCCCAGTACTTGGGGTGCATGATGATGTCCTTCACGGGGATCGAGACGCCCTTCGGGAAGTCCACGGGCTTCAGCTTGGGGGTGCCGAGAATCACGGAGTACTCTTTGGTGCTACGGGAGACACACGGCCTCGGCCAGTCGACGTCAGGTTTCCAAACAACGCAGTACTCCTACCTCCGCCGAAGACCCTCTCCCTCAGCAGAAGCCCTGCCCGGTGTGCTCTGCTCTTTCCATCTCGCTAATCCAGCCTGGAGGCCGTCAGGGCCAGGGATGCTGCTGCCTCCTCATCCCCTGTTCAAGTTGATTCAAGCTGGCCTCATCTATGTATGGTGTATGCAAGCGTGCAAGTGTTGCTATACGTGTATGTTCTTGTGTGCATGGGGGGGGGGAGGTGTCTGAGGACTGGGGGGGGGGGGGGTGGGCAGGGGAGTGTATGCTGGGTTTTCCTGTCACCTTGCTCAGGATGCAGTCACGGCTGCTTTGGGCTCCTGCCTCAACTCAGCCCCTGGCGCCCTGTGAGACCTTGAGCAGGGCTCTTCCCCATTCCGGATATCCCTTCCTACTCCCCCTTCACCTCCCAACTCCCACATTGTTTCACAGAGGAAATGAGGAGGATGGGCTGGGCCCATGGCAGCCCTGGGTCCCCAGGCCGTGGACACAGGGGCCACACTCACCCTTGGATGCAGTGGGCAGCAGTCACCACCCAGCTGAGATCAATGAGGGCCCCTCCACATATGTGTTCATTTTCCAGCCGGAGGCTCACCTCCCAGGGCCAATGTCGGGTCATGTCCAAATCTTCCGACCACCAGGGTCTGCCACAAACTTCAGGAACAAGTGTGCCGGGGAGACACGGTGACCACATATTGGAGAATGAGGATACCCGAGACCGAGATGCCCCCCCCACCCCAGGACAATTTGCACCAAGCTGTAAATTCAGGGTCTTGTTCTCATTTCAAAGATGGGGAGACAGGGTGAGAGAAAGGCACTGCGCTAGACAAAAAAATGACAATGATAGAGATAAAAGGCTTCAAGCCAGAGACATAAAGACATCACAGGAGAGAGAGAGATACTGAGACAACAGGGAGAGATTAGCTGGGAACCTCAAAACAAGAGAGAAGCACAGAAAATGCCCCAGGACAAGAAATACATTCTCTTGGATCTGGGAGAAGTCCCGAGGCCATGTTCCTAAAAGGCCATAAGCTTGCTGTATCTCTCAGATGCCAAAGGCCTCTGCCCCCACACTACTCACAGCTAAGAAAAGCTCCTGCCTTCTGTGTCAGAAATCTGTACACAGGCCATTCAAGAAAGAGCCTCCACATGGAGCCCACGGAGCCCCCACCCACAGCTTACACGGCCTCAGTTTACACGTCCTTCCAACAATCAAGTTGTACGACTGTATGAGTGAACACAGACGCAAAAATTATAAATAAAATATTACTCAACGCTGTATTTTGAAAAAATGCCCCACAATCATGTAGTGATTGTCTCGGGAGTGCAAGGGTGGTCCCACAATGGAAGAGCCCTTAGTGTATTCTCCACATAAACAGTTCTTCTTCTCTCAAGAGAAAGATCCCATGCTTTTCTCAGTAGACACAGAAAAAGACATTTGAAAAACTCAACACATACTAATGACTAAAAAAAAAAAAAAAAAACCCAAAAACCACCTGTTACTTAGCAAGGTAGGAACGGAAAGGAAATCCTTAACAAAAGTTACATGCCACAAACCTATAGCAAACACCATATAACGTTAAGGAACACACAAAATGACACTATACTGTCAGAAGCCAGGAATGATGGTACTTTGTGGGCAGAGGGCAGGAGAATCACCGAGAGAGTAGAAGGGAGCTTTTGGCTCCTGGCATTGTTCTACTTTCTGACCAAGGCAGTGATTACACAGATGTATTCTCTACGGGATAATTTCTTATGCTGGACACTTAGAATTTGTGTATTTTTGTGTACGCAGGTAATACTTCAACAACTGACTTTCGAAATCAACGACACTTCTCTACTCCAGCACAATCCACTAGAAATTATATTCGAAACAAGATACATTCTCAATAACAAAAAAATCACAGGCACTGAGGAATTAACCTATCCAGCACTACGTAAGATTTCTGTGGTGATACACTTTAGACTCTAATAAAGGACACTGAAAATGATCAGCATAAACAGGGAGCCAGCCCTTGTTTTTACATAAACAACTGGACATTTCAGATGTCATTCTTCCCAAAGTTAATCTAGAAAGTCATTTTCCAAGTTAGAATTTTAGGAAACTTTACACTCTACAACTGACATAGAAAAACAAAGGTCCATGAATAGCTCGGTCTCTGAGAGAGTGGAACATAAAGGGACACTTGTCCTAGCAGATATCTAGACACACACCAAAACCATAATAACAAAAACAGTGTGGTATTGACAAGGACTGACAGATGGAAGCAATGGAAAAGAACAGAGAGCCTGAGGTTGTTCTGGGAACATAGGAATTTAATGTAAATAAAGGAGCCACCACCATCGGTGGGTGGAAGATGCATGTTGAGTAGACGGTGCTGGGAAAACTGACTCACTATAAAGAAAATAAGAAAAACAAAACTGGATTCTTTCCTACCAGCACTCGAAGACCTAGAAAGTGAAAATGTAAAGTTAATGATGAACTGTGTGACATGGGGCAGGAAAGGGCTCCTTAAACAAAAACTTCAAAACACAGTCCACAGGGGCGCCTGGGGGGCTCAGTCAGTTAAGCATCCGACTTTGGCTCAGGTCATGATCTCATGGTTCGTAGGTTTGAGCCCCACGTCGGGCTCTCTGCTGTCAGTGCAGAGCCGGCTTCAGATTCTCTGTCTCCCTTCTCTCTCTGCCTCTCCCTGGCTCGCACTCTCTCTCTCTCTCTCTCTCTCAAAAATAAATCAACATTTTTTTAAAATCCATAAAGCATCAAACTGATTACTTTGATTAATCAAGTTAATGACAGGCTGGGAGGCAATATTTGCAATTATCTAAAATCGGCACCAGACTTTCATTAGGAACATACAGGGAACTCTAGGAAATCAATAAGAAAAAAAGAACAACAGACAACAGGCCAAGGATAAGGGCGATTTATTAGAAGAAGAAACTCGAGAGGCCAAAAGCACATTGAGGCATGCTGAAACTCCTTAATAATGAGAAAAATGTCAATTAAATCAAGAAGCCATTTTTCATCTGTTAGATGGGCGAAAACAGATTAAAAGCTGCATCTAGTAGGTCTGTTCACAAATGGCCGATAGGAATGCAGAGGGCTGACCAAATGAGATTACGGACGATAGATAAAAGTATGGTATCCATGTAAATGTGTGAAGTTGATAAGTGGTTGATAAGTAATAAGTTGATAAGTTGATACTACGGCTACGTAAAGGAATATTCTTAGAAAATACACACCTACGTATTTAGAGACAAGGAGTCATGGTGTATGTTACCCTCAACTGATTCTGAAAAAATGACGCGTGTGTTCCTTGACCTATCTGTATTCGCACAGTGTTCCATAAGTTGGAGGAAACAGAAAGGGATCTAGAGAAACACCATTTAACGTAAGTTAAAAATACATGCACACAAAACCACAACGTGTATTTTGACGAGACTACGCACAAGCAGGGATATGCACTGGACATACAGGAAAGGCTGGAAGGACGGGGAGGGGAGGATGGCAGTGGGGCATGGACAGAAGCAGGAAGAGGTAACTTAACTGAACAATTCGTAACAAATCAGGGAGGACCCGTGACCACAGAAGGCCTTGAACAGCAGGAGCAACCCACCATCCCCGCCATCCCTGCCGTCTAAGGAAAAAGGCCCTTCGGAAAGCAGACAGGTCAGACTAAATTCCAGGTTCCCACGCACCCAGAAACACTATCTGTGTGACCCTCTTCAGAACACACCCTCCCAGGAGCTGAGGTTTTCCTGGCGCAGGGGCTCACCCTCCCCACCTGGTATGGAATTGTTTTCTTTATAACCTGGAGGAGAAAAGGGGGAACAGAAACAAAGGAAGAGGTCATGAATCGGTTAATTTGTTCATTCGCCAAATATTCCCTCCCCTCTCATTCCATTCCCAGCCTGGAGCCCGAGGCCAGGGAGGGGACAGAGCGTATCCAACAGATACAGGCTGTATGTGCCCTCTAGGAACACCCTGTCCAGCAGGGGAGACAGGAGTAAACACACACAGTCGCCTGTGTGCGATCAATGCAGGGACCAGGTCACAGGTGTCAGGGGAGCCCAGAAGAAGTGGTGGACAAGGACGCTTCTGAGAAGAAGGGTGACTGTGCCAGGCCTTAAAGATGAAAAGAAGGTAAAACAGAAAAGTGACAATGACATTCCGTGCGAAAGAAACACCACGGTGTGTGCCAGAGCCTCCAGAGGATAAAGGACAAGGCTCTAGGATGACAAGAAATGATGCCATGGAGGAAAGTCGGGGTCAGTCACGGAGGCGGGGAGGCTCAGAAGCCAGGCCGAGAAGCAAAGAGACCCTCTGGGAGGAGGGAGGAAGGGTGACATGGTCAGGCTTCTAGTGTGAAGAGGAAGTAGGAAGATGACCGACCAGGCAGTGAGATCCCACCAGAGGCTCCGCAGGACACAGGCAAGAAAAGAGGTGGTCTAAATGAGGAAGTGGCAGTGAGAACACGCATGGAGAGCTGGATGTGGGGTGCTGGCAGATGGCTAGGTCTTGGGTAACCCTCACTTTCGGATTTTAGGGAACAATGCCTCCTAGCCGCCGAGCTGAGGAGAAGAGAATAAGAGAACCCAGTTTGTAGTCAGATGAGAGCCTCAGCTTTGGACCCCAAGGAGTTGGGAGCAAGGGAGTTACCCTGAGGCAGAGAAGAATCAGGAGTTATGGCTGGAGAAACCAAGGGACTGGAAAAAGTGAAAACGGAGGAAGTGGTAGAAAAGTCAGGGACAAGGACAGAGGCATGGCCGGAATGGCTACGGATTACGGGAGAAGCGAGGAAGCAGTGAAGGCAGCACCAAGTGGAAACTGTTACTTGGAGAAACCTGGCAGTGAGGGGAAGGCGCGGGGAGAGGCAGCTCGGCAGACAGGGAGGGAGAGGTTGGAGACCTCCAAGAAAATGACCGAGCAGCGCAGCGCGGGTCCAGAGCAGGGTCAGCATCCTGACCTTGAACAGGAGGTTTATCTCTGATTGATAAAGAAAGTTGGGGGGGGCTGAATAGTGGGGTTCGGAGGGGCCTCTGCGGGCTGGAGGCACTCAAGGAGGACAGCACCTGGGGGCCTGCGTCTTCGGAGGACAAGAGGGGCGCCAACGGGAGGAGTGGGCCGGGGGCAGAAGAGGGGGACGTTGCATCCCAGTTTCAGCGCACGGAGACCACGCGCCTCTGGCCTGCAGCGCCTGCGCAGCGGCCTGGGGTCGGGGAGGCCAGACCACGCCCGGGAGGGCGGCTCGGTCTCGGCCACCAGGCCCGCGCGGACTGGGGAGGAAGTGGCTGCGCATCGGGAGAGAGGAAATGCAGGGGGTCCTCTGCCCTGCAGGTCCCCAGGAGGCGGCAGGGCGGGTGGCACCTGAGGGAGGCCAGGGCGGCAGGAGTCTGGCGCCACCCTGAGGGGTGGCGGTGGAGGGCGGGTGACCATGGGGAGGCGGGGTCCACAGAGTCCCAGGTAGCCAAAGAGGGGGCCAGGCCGAGAGGCCGCCCTCAAGGGGGGGGGGGTGCTGGGAGGGGCAGAGCGGGGACTGGGGAGGGGGAGGTGGCAGAGGACACACGGAACACAGCCGCGGAGGAGGCGCGGCCTCACCCGAGTTCAGCAGCGGCAGCAGCAGCAGCAGCAGCAGGAGGAGGCGGCAGCTCAAGCCCTGGGGCCCCGAGGCTCCAGCGCAGCTGAGCGGCGGCGAGGCGGCCATGAGGCCCGGGAGGTGCCACCTGCAGGCCCAGGCACGCGGCGCCGCGAGTCCCGACACGTGAGGGCGCCCCCAGCACGTGACGGGGGTCCGGTCATGTGATGGGGCCCCCAGCACGTGACAACGCGCCACGCCTTCCCCAACGCCCACGGGCGCGTTTCCGGCATCTGCGCTGGTACACCTCGTGCCTCTTCCTGGAAAATGACCTCGGAGCCCCTGATCTGTGATTGCCCCCCGGGTGGCCAAGCCCATGAAAACACTCCCAATTGCTTTAAGCTGGTGACAGCGTGCCCCCCCAGTCTGGGTAGTGAAGGCCCGCCCGAATTCCCAGGACCTGTGAGGCCACCTGGTCGCCCAGCCTCTGACCGCACCCTTGGTCCCCTCCCCGGGCTCGGTGCATTCGAAAGGCTGACAATTTATATTGATTTGAGAGTCTGAAAAGATACAGAAAGCACAAGAAAAGAACATTAAGGCTAGGCAACCCGGGAAGGTGGCATTTGAGCCGGACCTATGACTGGAACAAGGACTCTTGGGGAAGTCGTGAGAAGGAAATACATGCCTCCTCTTCCACAGACCACCAAGGGGATGGTCTTGAAAGAGATGATGGCGTATACCAGGCCTTGGGCCTTCACAGAGCATTTTTCCAGAAGGATCTGGTCTCTGCATCCGCTGGGTGTGACAGAGATTGGGACCTGACCACCAAGATTCCACCTTCTCTTGTCTAGTTGGGGGATGGGGGGAGGGGTCCAGCTCCGGGGACCACATTCCCCTGCCTGGTATCTAAGGGGGTCCATATAATGAGTTCCCATGACTAGCAGGTGAGTAGAAGTGATGTGTGTCACTTACATGTCAAGGCAGTCAAGAGGAGGCTGCCTTCTCTCCTCCTGTTAATGACAGCAGCGTTCTCCAGAGCAGCAGAGGCAGTGCTTGGAACTTGTTAGAGATGTGGTTCTCAGGCCCCACCCCACACCTACAGGACTACAAACTCTAGGAGTGGAACCAGCGATCTGCATTTTAACAAGCTCTCCGGGGAAATCTGATGCAGTTAAAGCATGAACCACAGGGCTGAGTGGAGCCTTACGATGGGGGAAAAGATGCCTGCTGACCAAGAACACTTGATTAAGATGTTTTAGGAAGAAGAAGTTGGGGCGCCTGGGTGGCGCAGTCGGTTAAGCGTCCGACTTCAGCCAGGTCACGATCTCGCGGTCCGTGAGTTCGAGCCCCGCGTCGGGCTCTGGGCTGATGGCTCAGAGCCTGGAGCCGGTTTCTGATTCTGTGTCTCCCCCTCTCTCTCTGCCCCTCCCCCATTCATGCTCTGTCTCTCTCTGTCCCAAAAATAAATAAATGTTGAAAAAAAAATTAAAAAAAAAAGGAAGAAGTTAAATTTATTGGGTTAGCCCATTTATATTCAGTGGCTTCTTAAAGCTGATGGTTCAATACTTATTAATAAGCTCGGTCCCAACCCCAACCTTCCTCCCACAACATATAGGATTGACACGGACTGCCCTCTGAGCCCACTGATGTATGGGATCTAAAACATTGACCCCTGGAACGACAGGGGACAGGAGACTGGGAGGAGTTGATCAGAAGCCAGACACAGACAGAGAGATGCTGGGACACCGGACCAGAGAATAAGGGTAATGAACCAGTGCCTCCCACACCGAATCTCCCTTGCCTTCCTCCCTCTGAGAGTACAAATGCTTGTTAATAAAATGGGCAGTGATAGCAGCAAGTGGAAGAAGCAGAAGAGAAGGAATATTTCTCATGCCCTAACTTCATTCTTGCTTCCAGTTTTGGTCTCTTGTGATCCTCTCTTCTGAGCTCCAGGGGCTGTTAAATTAAGCTACAAAGCTCCAGGCAAACATACTGAGTCCGGGGAGCAGGACCCAGCGAGCTAAAACCATGCAGAGGACTCCCACCCGAGCAGGTGGGGACTTACGGCTCCCTCAAGGGCTCCATGAAAACCACGAATAGTTTCTTTGACACATGGGAAACTAGTTTCTCTACAGAGTATGTCATAGGCAACCCCACAACGTTCAGGAGACTGGAACTTCAGAACAAATAAGAATGCACTGCAAATGTTTATTCATTGACATCTAAGATCTCCACAGTCTCCGCACGACTTGGGGTGAGCCTGGACGTGGCCACTGGGTACTCAAGAAAGGGGGCCCCATCGCGGGGCTGCCCCAGCAGGATCCAGGTGGATCCGCACTGGGTAGGGGGGAACTTGGCCCAGTCCCAGACACCTGGGTCGGAGGTGGAACCCCCAGGCCTCAGACCTCAGCAGGGCCCTGGTGACACCGCCTGGCTCTCTCTGCACGATCACCAAGCTCACTGTCAGGTGAAAGCCTGAGACCACAGCCACGTCGAATGCTGTCTCACTGCTCATGAGGTCTCTTCTTTGGAAGAGGCTCTCCAAGGCGTCAGGGAAGCACCGGGCTCCAGCTGGCAGGTCGGCTGGCTCTCAGGCTGGGATGCCTGTACTCCCTCCTTCCCGGCAGGCAGAGCACAGCCAAGGTGTGGGTGTGGCCGAGGCAGGTGACTGGGGCATCAGGCTGGGACACTTTCAGGGCTCCGGGCTTACTGCCACTCTCTACTGGGTAGCTCTCTACCGGGTCAGTGGATCCCAACCAGCATTGGAGGAAAGGGCAATGAGGAGGAGGGGGAGGTTGGAGGACAGGCCCAGTGTGAAGAGTCAGAAACAGGAGGGGAGTGGGCAGGGGTGATCATGGGGCCACCAGGATGCCCAGGGGCAGCACCAGGCACAGAAGTATGAAAGAGCCTGCTGAGTCCCAAGAGCAAGCCTGACTCAAGTGATCAATGACCCAGTCCCTATAGAAACTAACTTCTGTATAAACCGCAGGAAAATTTCTGCGACCACAGCCAATGCCCCAGCTCACAATTCCCACCTGGACCCATATTTCATTAAATTCACAGACCAGGGGGCCTCCAGAATCTCCCTGGAGAAAGAGAAAAAAACAAAACAAAACAAAACAAAACACAGGGATGGAAGAGAATCAACATCAGAACTGGCTTAAGATTACACTGCAGGGCCCGGGGAGATGGGCACGCATGGGGCTTCCCCACGACCTCCCCTGAGCCTGCACCAGCCCATGGCTTCTGGGAACATTTGAGAGTCGAAAGCTAAGTGAAACGTTTAACATCCTCTAGAAATCCTCCTCCTTCCCAGGTGCTCAGGGATGTACAGCCAGTAGGCCCCAGTACAGCAACAGTGCTGGTAATATATTGAATTCTCTTTGAATACCCCTGTTCCTCAACTGACCCTGAGCACCCCCATGATCCTCTCCAAGCCTCCCATGACCCAGCCACCAAAGGGGCATCTCCTGGCCCAGCCTCCGGAGTCCTCCTCCAGCTCTAAGGTTGGTGTCTATTCTAATTGCTCGGTCCTGGGCCTCAAAGGATGTGAAATATTTTGAGTATCGACCCTGCGTGAGGGTCTAACCTGAAATTCCCTGACCTTAAACCCATATATCCAACACCATGCATGCATCACTTCCCTGTGTCCAGACAGTCTCAGACATCCCGTATACCCCCCACCTCACCCAGAGCACCGCACGTCCTTCCCAGATCTGCTCTGGTGGCCCCGCACCAACCAACTCAGACAGAAACAGACAGCCCTCCTAACCTCTCCCTCGTCCCCTCCCTCAACGGCACTCAGTCACCCAGAGCTCATGATTCAACGTCAGACACACCTTCTTCACCCCCTCATCCTCCCACGTCCCGCTCGGGACTCAGCACCATCGCCTAGATGATGGAAACAAACGTCTAGCCCACAGTCCTGCCCAGACGGCGTCTAGAAGCTCGGACCAGCACCCCAGGCCACACGTACTCTGACTCCAACCCTCTTCTCTGGCCACATTTGCCACCTCATTTGGTCCAGACCTGGAAAACATTCCCTAAACGTGACACGTTCCCTGGGACCTCTGAGCTGCTCCACATGCTGATCCCTCTCCCTACAATGCTGTTCTCTTTCCAAGAAACCCAAACACTCATCCTCTAGGAGTCCTGCAAGCACCCACGGGGGAACCTGGAGCTGACATCTTTGGACCTCACCTCATCTGTATAATTGGTACGATGTCTATGCCGCGGGGTTATGATGTGGGTTCACAGAGCTAGTGGGGGTCAGTGCCCACAGTGGCTCACACCGTAAGTGCCACAGAGGAGGAACTCAATTAAAGGGACTTCTGTTATTAGCGTTACCTGCCCCAGCTTCCCCACACCGTGGCAGTGCCCCCAGGCCAGCAAGGACTGCTCCCCTTTGATGGAACAGGCCAGGCCAGCTCAGGGGAGCCACGAGGGAGGAGGAGGCTGTGCCGCTTGCGAATGAGGAAACTGGGAGGGGACGTGCTCACTGCAGGGGCCACAGTGGAGCCATGAACTGACCTTACAGATACGCTTCTTCTCTGCTCGATAGGCACAGATCATCCCTTTTCTCACCATGCTGCGAAACGTTCCTAACTGTGTCTGCAATATCCAGTTGCATTTCTTGTGGTGAAGAATGTGTCGCTCTGTCTCCTGAAGAAGAACTGGCATCGGTGCTAAAACTATGAGGAGACAAGTCAGGGTCTGCATGAGAGGAGAGAGCCCCCCAAACCCGCTCTGGCTCTGGCTCAGGGCGCTCACACTCAGTGCCTCCTCAGAGGACGTTGGGGCAGTAGGTACTGTCCCATGGCCACAGCAGGTACTTTCCCGGAGGAACAGCTCGTCCCCCTAGAGTTGAAATCCGTGCTGGAGAGAACCCATCATCTCTGGTACCCGGGCCCCGGAGCCTCCAGGTGCTAACATTCCAACCCATTCTTAACGCAGTTCGGATACTACCCCGGCAGTATGTCCTCCTGGGAAAGAACCAGCCTCCCTGTCCCTCCCTCTAGCTTGTGGGCCACCCCCAGGGCACCAGGGTGCCCCCTCAGCTCCCCCCCACCCCATCAGTCTCACCTCCTTCTTCCAGTCGGCCCCAGCCAGTCACCCAGCACTCCGTCCCAGTTTCTGCTTGGAAAGACTTCTCAGGGAGGCACACAGGCTGGATGTAGGAGGAGTAATTCACAGCAAAGGCCAGCAGAGCGAGGGCAATGTCGTGTCTCAAAGTTGTATCATCACAAAAGCGGTGGCAAACGATGTCTTCAACTGGAACCACGAGTGTAGTTTTGGAATTAGGACATAACGATTTGTCTCCCAGCCGTACTGTATACTCCTCATGGCTGTGGGAAGATGCCCTTCGCGTCGATCCCCTCCCACGCCTTCCAGGTTCTTCCCAGCCTGGCCCTTGTCTCCTAAGCCAGCCGTCAGGCACCGGCCTGCCTGCAAACCACACCCGGGCCCCAGACCCTAACCGCTGTCTCCAGTGGTTCTCCAAAGGAGGTCCCAACACTACCAGAGCAGCGCGTGGGAACTTGGTGGAAAGGTTAATTCCCAGGGCCTCATTCCAGGCTGAATAAAAAGTAGGGGGCTGGGACTTCCTTTCCAGCCGAGGAAGAGGAAGCTCAGGGAGGGGGACAAGACTGGCTCCAGGTCACAGAGCCTGACCAGGGGCCCCAAGCGCGGGGCCCGGACACTCACCCAGTGACGCAGTAGGCAGCGGTCAGCACCCACCGGCTGGCAATGAGGGAGCCTCCGCATACGTGTTTGTTACTGATCTGCAGGCTCGCCTGCCAGGGCCACTTCCTTCTGGGGGCCGGCATTCCCCCTCATAGACCTGTGGCCGCATCCTGGTTGGCTCACTAAAGAGAAGGGACTGGATGGGGCACCCGGGTGGCTCAGTTGGTTAAGGTGTCCAACTTCAGCTCAGGTCATGATCTCACAGTTTGTGGGTTCGAGCTCCACATCGGGCTCTGTGCTGACAGCTCAGAGCCTGGAGCCTGCTTGGGATTCTGTGTCTCCTCCTCTCTCTGCCCCTCCCCCACTCATGCGCGCGCGTGCGTGTGTGTGTGTGTGTGTGTGCACACGCGCGCGCGCGCGCGCTCTCTCTCTCTCTCTCTCTCTCCCCCCAAAATAAATAAACATTAAAAAGAGAGAGAGAGAGAGAAAGTACCGGAGGTGCAGCCGTTGTCCCCTACCACCCCCTCCGGATGCCCCCGGGGGCAGAGCCAGGTTTCCTCTCAAACCCTCCAAGATAGACTGAGACCCCGCGGTCTACCCACCCAAGCAGCATTCCCTTCTGGCCTCCCAGGCAGGCCTGTGCCGACCCGTACAGAAGCAGTACCTTGAGGAGAGAACGTTTGGGATCCAGTGGTCTAGGTGGACTCTGAGGCCTCTCCCACTGTGAGTGTTGGAGGCCCAGGGGTTGCAGTGGATACTGTCATCGAGGATTCCAGGAGCCCTGGAGGCGACGGCGTCTCTGGGCTTCCTGAGGTCAACGCAGGACCCTGGCTAGGGCGGTAATCCTTACCTGGGGAAGACCAGTGACACAGGAGCTGGGCTGAGCGCACCCCTAGCCTACCCTTGCCCCCTTTGTCTACTCTTTCCCAACCCCCCACCCCCGCACCCTCACCACGACCCCTCCCCGCCAGCAGCCCAGCCCCCTCCCCGCCCGCTCGCTGCCTGCCGCCGATCGGCCCCACCGAGCAGAGGCTGGAGGAGCAGGAGGCAGAGCTGGAGGCCCAGGAAGCCCCCGCGGGACGCCATGAGCTCGCTGGTGCCCGCAGCCCTGTCGCGCGCCCCCTCGCGGCGGCCCGCGGCCCTGCCCTCGCGTTGGCCGGACCCGGGTCCCCCCCTCTAGAAAATGATCCTCCTATTTAAAAGGAAATCATGATGTTGGTGATGATGTGGTGAAAAGGGAACCCTCTTGCACTGTTGGTGGGAATGCAAACTGGTGCAGCCCCTCTGGAAACAGTATGGAGGTTCCTCAAAAAGTTAAAAACAGAATTAGCCTAGGACCCAGCAATTGCACTATTAGGTATTTACCCAAAGGATACAAAAATGCAGATTTGAAGGGGTATATGCACCCAATGTTTATGTCAGTATTACCAACAATAGCCAAACTATGGAAAGAGCCCAAATGTCCATCAACTGGTGAAAGGATAAAGAAAATATGGGGTGTGTGTGTGTGTGTGTGTGTGTGTGTATAATATGTATATAATATACATATATATGTATATATACACACACAATGCACAATGGAGTATTACTCAGTGATTAAAAAGAAAGAAATCTTGCCATTTGCAACGACGTAGATGGAGCTAGAGTGTATTATGCTAAGCAAAATAAGTCAGTCAGAGAAAGACAGATACCATATGATTTCACTCATATATGGAACTTAAGAAACAAAGCAGATGAACATAGGGGAAGGGGAAAAAAGAGAGAGAGAGAAGCAAACCATAAGAGACTCTTAACTATAGAGAACAAACTGAGGGTTGATGGAGGGGGGTGGGTGGGGGATGGGCGAGATGGGTGACGGGCATTAAGGGGGGCACTTGTAATGAGCACTAGGTGTTATACGTAAGTGATGAATCACTAAATTCTACTCCTGAAACCAATTTTACCATATATGTTAGCTAACTCAAATTTAAATAAAAACTTGAAACTTAAAAAAAAGGAAATCATGACAGAAGTAATGACAATTTAAAGATCACTGCCGATGAAAGCACTACATACGAAATCACGTATGAGCCAGCTATAGTTCTAGAAAGTAATGTATCGCTTTGACCATATTATAAAACAAAGAGGACTGATAACCAAGGAGCTAAATATGCAACTCAGAAACTGAAAATGATCAATGGAGTAAAAATCAAAGACAGGATTTGGGAGAAAGAAAGGAAAAACCGGGAAATAACAGCAGAAGTCAATAGAGACAAAATTATGAAGATGAACACAATCAGAATTGTGTTCTCTGAAAAGCTTAAGAAGAGACATTCTAGTAAGACCGAATAAGATAAAAGAATGAAAAATACGGAATAAAGGAAAGTAACTTAAAGATATGACAGACAGGGGCACCTGGATGGCTCAGCCGGTTAAGCATCTGACTCATGGTTTTGGCTCAGGTCATGATCTCGTGGTTCACGAGTTCGAGCCCTGCATCCCTCTCCTGCTCGCTCTGTCTCTCTCTCTCTCAAAATAAAGAAACTTTAAAAAAGATATGACAGATATTTATTTTAATTATAGAAGAATATTAGTAAACACATGTGCTCACTTGTCCTTCTGGCCGAGACAGACTAATAGGGATTGCCCTTCCCATGTAAACAACAACCAAATATGGGCAAAAAGTATGGAACAGCAGTTTTTAAGACACTGGACAGCAGGCCACAAAGGGTAGGACTGATGGATGGAAAGTAAATGGGGTGAGTCCTATGATGACCAATGCTTGCAGCCTTGAGAGAGTTTCCAGGCTGTAGCTCAGAAAAGGGGAACCCCTCAGGGGAGCAAGTGAAGCTGGGGGCCAGGGGACCCCCAGGCAGCTACGCACTGAGGCAGGGGAGGGGAGAGAACTCTGGAGATCTGCAGAGTTCCTCGCTTGAGTATTCCCTGGTGTACTGAGCAGGGCTTGTGGGGGGGGGGGGGGGAAGGGAGGGGCTACCTGTGGCCGGAGAAATAACCACTTGAAAGGATCAGAAGTAACAATGGCTGGTGTTCGCATGGGGACAGAAATAGTGCCTGTTTCCATCAGCCACACTGGAAAAACCCAGGACTCACAGACCACTGGATAGCATATTCAAGAAGGTCTTGCCTCAACAACAGGAAATACTAGTTCCTAGACTGATGTTACAGTCCTAACAATTTTTTTTTTTTTTTTTGAGAGAGAGAGAGGGCACAAGTGAGCAAGGGGCAGAGACAGAAGGAAAGAATCCCATAAGGGGCAGAGAGAGAGAGAGAGAGATGCAGGGCTCAAGCTCACCCGAAGTGGGACTCGAACTCACGAACTATGAGATCATGACCTGAGCTTAAGTCATATGCTTAACCAACTGAGCCACCCAGGCACTGTCTGTCTAACAAATCTTTAAAGCAAGCCCCGAAAATATCAATTTCCAAGTAATTTTACTGCATCCCAAATAAAGCTCAAGAATATTTCTAGGAGGGACGCCTGGGTGGCTCAGTCAATTGGGCATCTGACTCTTGCTTTCGGCTCAGGTCATGATCTCATGGTTCATAGGATCGAGCTCCTCGTCTGGCTCCTCTGTACTGACAGAGTGGAGCCTGCTTGAGAGTCTTGCTCTCGCTCTGCCCCTCCCCTGCTCACTCACTCTCTCTCTCTCTCTCTCTCTCAAAAATTAAAAATGTTTAAAATAAACAAAAATAAAAATAAACAGAACAATGTGGGCTGTGCCCTAATACATGTGTCATTGCACTCCCAAAAGGAAGGTGCTGGACAGCAGAGACAAAAATATTTAAAGAAACACTGGGCAAACATTTTCCACATTTAATAGAAACTATTACCCTAGAGATCCAAGAAGCTCAATGAACACCAAAGAAACAAGAATGAAACTGGACAGGGGCGCCTGTGTGGCTCAGTCAGTTAAGCATCTGACTCTTGATTTCGGCTCAGGTCATGCTCTCACGGTGCATGAGATCGAGCCCCAAGTCAGGCTCTGCACTGACAGCACAGAGCCTGCTTTGGGGATTCACTCTTCCTCTCTCTCTGCCTCTCCCCCCGCTCATTCTTTCTCTCAAAATGAACTAAATTTAAAAAAAAAAAATTTTTTTTAAACCCAGAACAAAACTAGACAGAAGTACGACTTAATCAAATGGCTCAAAACCAGTGATAATATTAAGTAAAAGGAACAAAGGGAGGGGTGACACACATCATCAGAAATAACGCAAGGATGAGGTCGAGACGGCTGGATGCCTTCTAGTTTCAGCTCCTAGTGTACATACCTGTCCTGTTCCCAATCTGTCAAGCGCCACATTTTTTCTTTCAATTTTGTGTTATTTCGCTGGTGATTTTGCTGTTTAAAATGACATATCGCTTAGGGCTGCCGACGGTTGCTAAGGACTCCACGCTGTGAGGCGCAGGCAGAGAAAACAGATGTTAGGTAAGCTTCTTGGAGGCATGATTTCCACTTCTGTTGGCCATGAGTTCGATGATAACAAATCAATGGAGTATATTAAATAAGATGCCTTCAACCAGAAACAATCAGAAAATAAAGTTATATATTGACCACCTGATAAAAATGTTGTGAAACGAGGTTCCCAGGAATCTGCTCCTGTATGTCTCTGAGAAGTTGTTCGGTATTTGCTAATTCATGGCTGCTTCACAGAACGTAAAAACCGCACACACACACACACACACACACACACAAACACAAAAGCAAAACGGTTATTTTTAGCAACTGGGTTTGGGGGTGGTTGGTCACACAGCCACAGAGGACTGAAACACTTCTTGCAACTCAGACTGTCCCGTCTCAGCCAGGCCACGTGTGTCGGATGGGGCTCCCCTGAGACAGAAGTGAAAGCGAGGGTCTGTTGAGGGGCACTCTTGGGAGATAAAGCTCTAAGGGAGCAAGGGAGGCAGAACTGGGCAAGGGGAGGAGCTGAGCTATGATACCCAGCTGAGGTTTCAGCTGATCCTACAAGAAGCCCTTCTAAGTTGTCCCCAAGTGAGGCAAAAAGTCTGGGCCTTTCCAGGGGCACCTGGGTGGCTCAGTTGGTTAAGCATCTGATTTCAGCTTAGGTCATGATCTCGTGACCCGGGAGTTTGAGCGCCACATCAGGCTCTGTGCTGACAGTTCAGAGCCCGGAGCCTGCTTCAGATTCTGTGTCTCCCTCTCTCTCTGCCCCTCCCCTGCTCATGCTCTGTCTCTCTCTCAAAAATAAACATTAAAAAATTAAAAAAAGAAAAGAAGTCTGGGCCTTTCTGTCCCCACATGTCAGTCATCCGGCACGGGCTGCACCGTGAAAGGATGTAATCTTGAGTGGGTCCATCCCTCCAGCTGAGTGCAGCTTCAGTGAGGGGCGCAGACGTGAGTCAGTATTTTCAGGAGCCGGGGAATGATGTGCTTTCTCTGCAAGTGGGATTTAGCGGGAACCCCACATGTCCCTACAAGGCACCTCTTCTGGTTGGCTCCTGAGCCCTTTTGACAGCATTCTGATTGTTTGGATAGCTTCCTATCTGGTGTGATATGACATTTTTATCTCCCCCTACACATTTCCTGCTCCACACCTGGAGATTTTTCACACCTGGTCTCAGTGGGAAACTGTATTTCAACACTGCAATCTGAGCACTGGGAACATTCATTGCTCTATATCACTTGCTTCTTATGACTGGAAACCCCAGCGTTTTTTGCTTTGTTTCTTTTCTCTTTAAAGTTTAATATTTTGGGGAGAACTTGCCTGCACGTCAACCTCCTCCTTCGCCTGTGTCATTGGTCCCTTTCAAAGGGTGGTTCGGTCCGGCCACCACGCCCCTGACCTAAGGGTCTTCCTACCGTCCAGCTCTTCCCTCCTACCTGCGGTGCCCATCTTATCTGTCGCCTCAGCCCCATGCCTGCCCCACAAAACGTATTCTGCAAATATTGGTTGGACAGAATGGCTATCACTTGGAGTTGATGTCCTGCTGCCTGGGAGCCAGAGTTTCATCCTCAGGAAACCAGGCCACTTGACTGAATTCTTGTCTCTGTCCCTGCCCCCAGTAGGAAACACATTCTAATATCACATGCTACAGGACACCCCATCTGGACCACAAAGTTCCCAGAGCTTGGGGACTCTTCCTACAGCCAGGGCTGTGACCCCTGCCTGTCACTCATTTACCAAGTATTTCCTGAAGTCTTGCTCTGTTCCAAGCCTAGAACTGGAGGGTGGAAGGTAGAGAATGAGTGGGCAGAGTCCCCTGACCTTGGGGACCTAAACGTCCCCCAGTGGAAGCAAGAGTAAGGAACGGACACGAGACCACCAGGAGCCTAGAAGAAAGCACATTTCACAACCCGGGGGGAGTGCACAGGGGAGGTTCTGGGGAGGACTGAATGTTTGAGCTGGGTCTTAACCACAGAGGAGGAAGAGAGAAGGAAACGAAGCCCGAGCGATGTGCCCCGCAGGGAACATCACAGGAAAGGACAAGTTGGCTTGAAGGAAAGCTGTAAGTCAGAGTGGGATGTAGCAGGACTCGGAGCCCCAGGTCTGCCCGCGTGTGCATGTCCGTGAAAGGACAGTAGTAGCATTAACGGAGTTTAGCTGGAACCAGCTGGGGTTTGCAAAGCAGTGTCCCACCCTGGCCTCCCTCCAGCAGCAGGGGGGACTATCACAGACTGCCCGCTGAGGTCCATGGTAACTGGGAGCTCTAGCACTGGCCGCGGAAGGAACGGTGGGCAAGAGACAGAGGCTGGGGGGTGATCAGCAGCCAGTCCAGAGGACTACGGGACACTTGGTCTGGTGATTGGGTAAAGAAGCCGTACACACACATACACACACACACACACACACACACACACACACACACAGCCAGGCCCTCCCACCCACCCTCCCCTTGTGGGAACTCAGCTCTTTGGGCTCAAAGTGTCTTGACACCCAGCCCCTGGTGTCTCCTCAAGGCATGCCTGGTATGGGGCAGCACGGAGAGGTACGAGGGTGTGTGAGTGTGTCCAGCTCCAATCTCCGTTCTCTTGCTCCCCCTGCTTCTGACCCAACACTTCCGGCCAGAGATGCTGATGGCTGTAATAGGAGGGCATTGATGAGACTTAGATCAAGGTAGGCGAATTCCTCACCTCTGGATCTTCTAGACCCCATGCACTGCTTTCCAAGCTACACTGGAAACTAGTTCTCTACAGAGCATGTCGTAGGCAACCCCACAACATTCAGGAGACCGGAACTTCAGAACAAATAAGAACGCACCGCAAATGTTTATTCATTGACATCTAAGATCTCCACAGTCTCCGCACGACTTGGGGTGAGCCTGGACGTGGCCACTGGGTACTCAAGAAAGGGGGCCCCATCGTGGGGCTGCCCCAGCAGGATCCAGGTGGATCCGCACTGGGTAGGGGGGAACTTTGCCCAGTCCCAGACACCTGGGTTGGAGGTGGAACCCCCAGGCCTCAGACCTCAGCAGGGCCCTGGTGACACCGCCTGGCTCTCTCTGCACGATCACCAAGCTCACTGTCAGGTGAAAGCCTGAGACCACAGCCACGTCGAATGCTGTCTCACTGCTCATGAGGTCTCTTCTTTGGAAGAGGCTCTCCAAGGCGTCAGGGAAGCACCGGGCTCCAGCTGGCAGGTCGGCTGCCTCCTTCCCAGCAGGCAGAGCACAGCCAAGGTGTGGGTGTGGCCGAGGCAGGTGACTGGGGCATCAGGCTGGGACACTTTCAGGGCTCCGGGCTTACTGCCACTCTCTACTGGGTAGCTCTCTATGGGGTCAGTGGATCCCAACCAGCATTGGAGGAAAGGGCAATGAAGAGGAGGGGCCTCGTGTGAGAGTCAGAAACAGGAGGGGAGTGGGCAGGGGTGATCACGGGGCCACCAGGATGCCCAGGGGCAGCACCACGCACAGAAGTATGAAGAAGTCTGCTGAGTCCCAACAGCAAGCCTGACTCAAGTGATCAATGACCCAGTCCTTGTAGAAACTAACTTCTGTATAAACTCCGGGAAAATTTCTGCGACCACAGCCAAAGCCCCAGCTCACAATCCCCACCTGGACCCATGTTTCATTAAATTCACAGGCCATGGGGCCCCCAGAATCTCCCTGGAGAAAGAGGAGAAAAAAAAAAAAAACACAGGGATGAAACAAATCAGTATCAGAACTGGCTGATTACACTGCCAGGCCTGGGGAGACAGGCACGCGTGGGGTTTCCCTGGGCTTCCACCAGCCCTAGGTTTCTGGGGATATCAGATCAGAGAGTTGAAAACGTGAGCAAACAAAATGCGTATACACACTCAAAAAATCGTGTATAAAGAACGGAATATAAGCCAAGGAAATGGACACACTCTGAGGTAATCATAACGAGTGAAGCCTTCACCCAAGTATTGCCTGTCACATTAGAAGGGGTTCAAAACACGTGACTGGCATTACTGGTATTTTCTGCCTGAATCGCCCGTCCTCTCCCAGCTCCCTGCAGGCAGCGCAGGTCCTACTGAAGGATCCAGTCGGGCCAGCCTGGCCTTGGCAGTGTGTCCCCTGGAACCCCCTTGACTTGAACGAAGGGTGACCGGAGGGGCTGGTGGATAACACGGGCCCCACTGCCCGTGAAAGAGGAAACTGTGGCGGAACAAGATGCTAAGATAGCGAGGGCCCGTGAACTGACCTGGCAGGTGTCCTTTCCTCGGGAACTGTAACCACAGACAGCCCCTTTTTTCACTAAGTCACTACCACTTTCCATCTGTTCCTTGAGTGCCCTATTGCACTCCTCGTAACGTACAACGTTTAGCTTGGCCTCCTGAAGTTGTTCCGGAGCATCTTCGGGTTTATCTGTAGAGAAGATTTAGGAGTTGGTGGATCTGCCTAGCAGACCAAAACCGGAGCCCCGGGTGTCCATTCTTGGTCTCCATACGGTATGTTCACATACAGACACCCCCCGCGGCAGTGAATACTGTCCCCATTTGACACTGGAGGAAAGGAGGCCCAAAGTGGACGTGGGGAGGGGAGGAGGGGAGAATCAAAACGAAGACAGGAGGGGCGCCTGGGTGGCTCAGTCGGTTGAGCGGCCGACTTCGGCTCAGGTCATGATCTCACGGTCCGTGAGTTCGAGCCCCGCGTCGGGCCCTATGCTAACAGGTCAGAGCCTGGAGCCTGCTTCAGAGTCTGTGTCTCCCTCTCTCTCTGCCTCTCCCCTGCTCACACTCTGTCTCTCTCTCAAAAATAAACGTTAAAAACAATTTTTTTTTCTAATGGAGATAGGAGGAGGAAGAACAGATCAGGAGAGAAAGAGGCCTTACCAGCCATGAGAAATCAAAACCAAATGTCTGTCACTCAGGATGCTTAGTAAGAGCGGCAGTTGTCCCGTGCATCAGCGAAGTGACTTTCCTTTGGAGCAGGACCATAAACTCTTGGACAGGTAGTGCCCCAAAGGTACTGAATCCAAACTCTCCCCAGGGACAGGAGGCCCTACCAGCCTCACCAGGAGTTAGTTCTCACGTCTCTTTTCACTCACAGGAAGCCCTCCATCCACCATCACCCAAGCTGGCTTGGGACAGCTCCCATTAGCAGACAGATCAACACCCCCTGGGCTAAAGTCCACCCCAGAGAGAGTCCACCTTGCTTGTCACCCAAGACCCCAGGTCCTGAGATTCTAATCGAAATCTGTAACACCATCAATCGCTCCCTACCAGCATTCTGCGGCCTCCTCCCTTACCCTCTTGCTAGAAAATGGCCTCCCCGCCTCCCCCTTTAGCTCGTAGGCCAACCACGGGGCACCAGGCAGCCTCTTGCCTGGCCTGAGCTTAGAGTCTTGCTCCAGTCTCACCTGTTTCTTTTCGTTTTCCCCATCCAGTCACCCAGCACTCCATACCAGCTTCCACCATGAACATCTTTTCAGGGAGGCACACGGGCTGGATGTGAGAGGAAAAATTCACAGGGAACTCCAGCAGGATGAGGGCAATGTCATTCTCAATGCTTCCAACAGGATTGTAATATTTGTGAATAACGATGTCCCGGACCGGCACCTGGATGGCCATCCTGGAGGTATGGTTCACGTGGACGTCTCCCATCTTCACGGTGTACTCCACGTGGCTGCAGAGAGATCCCAGAGGGTCGACACCCCCCTTCCGCATCTTCTGGGCCTTCCCAGCCTGGCCCTATCTCCATCAAACCACTTCCCTCCCTCCAAACCGGGTCCCATCCCCGGACCCGTGACCAATCCATCCAGTGGTGCTCCAAGGCGGGTTCGCTGGTGATGCATCAGCATCACCTGGGAACTTGTTAGAGATGCGGATTCTCAGATGGCATTTCTGATCTACTGCATCAGAGACACTGGTGGGGGGGGGGGGGGGGGGGGAGTGGGGACAGGCAATCTGTGTTTTAACAAGCTCTGCAGGTGTTTCCATGCTCGTTAAAGCGTGAGACCACTAATCTGGCCAAATTGGTTTCCTACACTCCACTCTTCTTAAGTATTCCCCCTTGCCGGTCTTTGCCCAGACACTGCCTCTCAGCTGGCATCTTGCCCCTTTCTTGCCACTTGGCTTGAAGACTAATCGGCACAAGCTTTGAACCTGATTTGGGGTCTTGCCTTTTCAGGCTACCAAGGGCCCTGCCATCACTTACCTCTGCCTGCAGTCTGAAGAGCAGGGACTATGACCCCCTTCTTCAGATAAGGAAGAGGAAGCTCAGGGAGGGGGACAAGACGGGCTACAGGTCACAGGGCCTGCTGAACAGGAGCCTAAGCCCAGAACCCCAGACACTCACCCAAGTATGCAGTGGGCAGCGGTCAGCACCCACCGGCTGGCAATGAGGGAGCCTCCGCACGTGTGTTTATCCTTGATCTGCAGGCTCACCTGCCAGGGCCACTTCCTCTCTGGGGCGGGTATTCCACCAACTATCCTCATAGACCTGTGGCCACATCCTGGAGCAGGTCAAGGAAGGGAGGGGACTGAAAGTAAAGCCATGACAGCCCCACCAGCAGAGCCGGATAATCCTCAGAAGTCTCAGAACCCTCAAAGCAAGGTCATGTCCCCTCAGAACCCCCCCCCCCCCCCCCCCCCCCACCCCCGAGCAGCTCTGTATCCCCCCAAGACAATGGCCATGTCCCCTCCGAGCTCAAGGGCAGGGTTGGGACCACTCAGAGCCTCTCCTCCCCTGGGAAAAACCATCTTCGCGTGAGACCCTCCCCTAGAGCAGAGTCCCATCCCCCTGGGCCCAGGCCAGTTCTCCGCGGCAGGGCCTGGCCCGAAACATCACCTGCAGGAAACAGCGACCTTGCCGCTGGCTGAGGAATGGCCGCAGCCCTGTAGGAACCAGGGTCAACTGGGGTGACCGCCGCCATCTGTGGGGAAGTGGCAGCCTCTTGGGGCACGGGGGTCGCAGAAGATCCTGCAACCCTCGACACGCTCTCGCGGCGGTCCTCGCGGCCGCCCCCGGAGGGGGATGGGGAGGGTGGGGACGGCGCCGACCCGCCCTGCGCCCCACCGAGCGGCGGCTGGAAGAGCAGGAGCCAGAGCAAGAGGCCGAGGGAGCCACCACCCGGGGACGCCATGGGCCCGCCGGCGCCGCGCCTCTCGCAGCGCCCCCTCGCGGCGGCTGGCGGCCCTGCCCTCGCGTTGGCGGGAAACCGCGTTCCGCGGAGATCAGGGTCCCGCCGCGCCCGCTGGGTGGCCTGACGGGTGGCGCAGGCCGCGGAGTCGTGACTCGGGGAGGCTTTTCGTCCCGACTTTGCGAGCCTCCCGGGCACTTGGGGCCCGGGCCTTGGGCCCGCCACAGGGTGCCACCGCTGACCCCGCAGCCACGCACCTGCAGCCCCGCGCCCGGCGTGCAGCGCGCCTCGCCGCTCCTCCTCCCCCGCGGGTTCACGGTCAAGATCAGGACTGCTCAGCGGATACGGACACGCTGCCCTCAACGGCACCCACCACCGCCTTAGAGATGGCAGTGCCACCTTTTAAAAATCAACCTCCACCTAGGGGCGCCTGGGTGGCTCAGTCGGCTGGGCGTCCGACTCCGGCTCAGGTCATGATCTCACAGTTGGTGGGTTCGAGCCCCCCGCCCGTCGGGCTCTGTGCTGACAGCTCAGAGCCTGGAGCCTGCTTCAAATTCTGTGTCTCCTTCTCTCTCTGCCCCTCCCATGCTCATGCTCTGTCTCGCTCTGTCTCTCAATAATAAATAAACGTTAAAACAAAAATTTTAAAATCAACCTCCACCTGAACGGAGCCGTTAGCGCAGGGCAAATGCAAACCACGATGAGATATCACAACACACCAGCAGACTGGCTAAAATAACAGATCTTGACAACCCCGATTTGTCAACAAATCTTGACACGGGTGCAGAGGTACACTCAGACATTGTGGTAAGAATGTAAAAATATTACAGCCACTCTGGAAAACAGACACTGGCAGTTTCTTATAAAACAAAATGTGCAATTACCATACGAGCCAGTAATTGCATTCCTGGGCACTTACCCCAGAGAAATGAAGCTGTATTACACACACACACCTATAGGAATGTTTTTAGTAGCTTTATTTTTAATAGCCAACATCTGGAAACAACCCTGTAATAGACAGAATACGGGCAACCCAAAGATGTCGGGGTTCTAATCCCCGGAACCTGTGAATACGTTACCTTATGTGGCAAAAGGACGGTGATTAAATGAAAACTCTTGAGCGGGGAGATTATCCCAGAGTGCACACATAAGAGCGGCCGCAATGCTCTGTAGCTCCTCCTATGAAGAAACGAAGTCAGGCTGTTACTAGCCTATCACTTGGGCTGTGTGACCCAGCAAACCCCATCGAGCTAGTTTGCTGGTAAGATTAAAATGCGGTAAGGAGGTAAGGAGTCTCTGCTCTGTCCTAATTACAGAGAGACAGTATAGACTCCCACAGTACTGGAATGAGACCATACTGTCTGCAGCAAAGAAATTGTGAAATTGCACATTCTTTGAAAAGCAACCCCCGGCACGCCACCGCACCCTAGAAAGAAACTAACGGCCAGACTATGGGACATGAAGTGACTGAGAGTCCCATGCCTCCTCTCATAATGTAGATATTTAGCCAGACTCACCAAGTCATAAACTCAGCCAGACAAAGCAATTCATCATTCAATGAACATGATATATGTGGAGTTGGGTCATGATAGGTCTTGAAGACAACAAGCAAATTGCACAAAAGCAATGGCCTAGACCTTCATATCACCTACTTGTATTGAATTAAAGCTTCTCTCTCAGTTCATACCCATAGCTTTATAAGGGGTGTCCTATCACCAGCTGATGAAAGAGTAAAAACCTGGGCCTCCCTCACAGATGGGCTCAAAATTTTGGTGCCAGCTGAAAACAGACCGCTGTTTCACTAGAACCTCATTCAGGAGTGGCCCAGAATGACAGTGATGAGGAGAAATCCTGTGCATAGGGCTTCAAATAGTGCACTTGGTCATCAGCTTGCTGCAAAAGGAGAAGTGGCCCGAATAAGAATACAAATGGGCCCCTGAACAACAATGAATGGCTTGTCTGGTTGGTCAGGGGCTTAGAAAGGCCAAAACTCCACAATTTGGGAAAGACGTACCTGGATGCACCTGTGGCAGTGGAAACCACTGAGCCCACCAGTGAGTATCCACTGCCAAGGAGCCACTCAACGGCCAAGTGGATAAGATGACGCCTCCGCTGGAGATCGGCTAGCACTTGCCCTTGTCAACCTCCATGCTTGCACTGTGTCCAATAACAGAGTATTTGTGTTGGCAAGATTGGAGAATATTCGTCCACCCAATAAAACAACATGGGGTTCCTCTTACCAAAGCCGATGTAGCTACTACTGCTGCTGGATGTCCAACCTGTCAGCATCAAAGGTCAATGCCAACCCTTGAAATTCAATTTCAGCCTTAAGAGTTGCTACATCCCTAAAGGAGACCAAGCAGCTATTTGGTAGCACGATTATTATATCCATGTATTTGCACCCTGGAGGGCTAGCGGTTTGCCCTTTCAAGACTCTGTGGGGCAGTATGTGAGGGGGGATCCCACGATGATAACTCAGACGCTCCATGAGTCACTGACAGTGTGCTGAACAGGCATTCTAGGCAGACAACGCTTTCCAGCTTTCTGATACTTAAATACTTTTCTGACAACGGTAGTGGTAATATAAGTAATTGTGATTTTTGATATTGTGTCATGAAATGTGTCAACAGAGAACCAATATTTTCCGACGATTTTACAAAATTATGGTTGAAAGATCCATTCGAAGTGAAAGACCATTTGATCTTTTCTTAAATTTTTTTTCACGTTTATTTTTCGAGAGAGAGAGGGAGACAGAGCGTGAGAGGGAGAGGGGCAGAGAGAGGCAGAGACACAGAATCTGAAGCAGGCTCCAGGCTCTGAGCTGTCAGCACAGAGCCTGGCATGGGGCTCGAACTCATAAACTGTGAGATCATGACCTGAGCCGAAGTTGGACACTTAACCGACTTAGCCACCCATATGCCCCAATTTTATGTTTTTTTTTAAGCTTATTTATTTTGAGAGAGAGAGAGAGAGAGAGAGAGAGAGAGAGAAAAGCACAGGTGGGGGGAGGGGCAGAGAGAGAAGGAGAGAGAGTTACAAGCAGGCTCCGCAATGCCAGTGCAGAGCCCGACGCGGGCCTTGAACTAACCGTGAGATCACGACCCGAGCCAAAGTCAGTCGCTCAACCGACTCAGCCACCCGGGCTCCACAAGACTAGTTGATTTTAACGTAATGAGTACAAAAAGTTCAAAAAGTTGCATGTTCTACGCTGCCATAAATTTAAAAATGGGAAGAAGTCTTTAATGTTCCCTAATAAAGCTTTTTCGGGCCCACCTCATTTCTTTGCACAGACCAGTTTCCATCTGATATCATTTTCCTTCAACCTGAAGAACTTAAAATTTCTTGAAGTCCAGGAAGGAATTCTCTCAGCTTTGGTTTTTTTTTTTTGTTTGTTTGTTTGTTTGTTTTAATTTTTTTTTCAACGTTTATTTATTTTTGGGACAGAGAGAGACAGAGCACGAACGGGGGAGGGGCAGAGAGAGAGGGAGACACAGAACCGGAAACAGGCTCCAGGCTCTGAGCCATCAGCCCAGAGCCCGACGCGGGGCTCAAACTCACAGACCGCGAGATCGTGACCTGGCTGAAGTCGGACGCTCAACCGACTGCGCCACCCAGGCGCCCCTCTCAGCTTTGGTTTTTAGAAGTCTTTACTTCAATTTTATTTTTGAAAGGTACTTTCATTTGATGTAGAATTCTACACTGACTGACTTACTTTCAACATTTGAAGATGATCCTCTCTCTACTATCTTCTGACTCTCATTGTTTCTGAAGTGTAGTCTGCAATCATTCTTACTTTATTTTTAAGTAATCTCTACGCCCAGTGTGGGGCTCAAACCCCCAACCCTGAGATCAAGAGTCACATGCTCCACTGACTCGGCCAGCCACGTGCCCCAATCATTCTTATCTCTGTTCCTCTGTAAGTAATATGTCTTCCCCCCCCCCCCCCGCCCCTGCTTTTAAACTCTATCCCTAGGTTTTGAATAGCAATTCAATTATTATGCTTGGCAGTGTGGTTTTCTTTGCGTTGGCTTGGGGGCCACTGTGCTTCCTGAATCTGTGACTTCTAGTTTTTAGTCAATTTGGAAAATTTTTCGGCAACTATTTTTTCAAATTTTCTTGAAGAATAGCATTTCTTCAGGTATTTCTGCTCCCAGTTTTCCTCTACCTTCTGTACTCCAATTTCCTCACATAAGACCATTTGATATCCCAAAGGTCAACTCATCATGGGCTGATAACTGGTTTCAATCTTTTTTTATCTGTTCTTCAGCATGAATAGTTTATACTGTTGTGCCTTTGATTTCACCAATATTTCCTTCTGCCTCCCAGGCATGGGTCTAGTAATTTTTAATGAACACTGAAGGCTATTAATGTTATGTTGCTGACTATTTGAATTGTATTTTCCTTCTTTAAGGAATGTTGAAATTTGGCAGGCAGCTAAATTACTTTCAGCCCACCTTGGTCCGTTTGAAGCCGGTTTTTAAACTTTGTAGGATGAGTCTTAGAGTAGCTTTTATCCTAGGATTACCCTAGCCTTAATACTAAGGTGTGAGCCTTGTGGGTACCTCCTGATTGCCTGAGTAGTCAGCGAGGTCCTTTCTCCGGGTGGATGAAGCTTGACCCTCCCAGCACTGTGTGAACTCTGTGAGTTGGTCCTCTTCTAGCTCCCTGGCACTTGTTCTTTGCCCAGCCTTCTGGAAATTTAACCTGTGTATGTGTAGATTAGTATTCAGCCAAAGACCGAAAGGGATTGTTCTGCAGATTTCTGGAAGTTGTTTCTTGGCATATCTCCATCCTATACAGCAGGGATCAGCAACCTTTCTCTGTAAAAGACAGTAAATATTTGAGGCCTTGCAGGCCACATGTGGACTCTGCCACATGTTTTTTTTCCCCTTGAGGGGGGCGGGGAGGGGCAGAGGGAGAAAGAGAATCCCAAGCAGGCTCCACCCCCAGGGCAGAGCCCAACGGAGGGCTTGATCTCATCATCGTGAGATCATGACCTGAGCCAAAATCAAGAGTCAAATGCTTAACCGACAGAGCGGTTCTTTTTTTTAAAAGCAACTCTTTGGGGCGCCTGGGTGGCGCAGTCGGTTAAGTGTCCGACTTCAGCCAGGTCACGATCTCGCGGTCCGTGAGTTCGAGCCCCGCGTCGGGCTCTGGGCTGATGGCTCAGAGCCTGGAGCCTGTTTCCGATTCTGTGTCTCCCTCTCTCTCTGCCCCTCCCCCGTTCATGCTCTGTCTCTCTCTGTCCCAAAAATAAATAAACGTTGAATAAAATAAATAAATAAATAATAAAAGCAACTCTTTAAAAATGTGTACATCATTCTTAGCCCTGTACAAAAACTGGCTATTGTGGAATTGGCCCACAAAGCGTAGTATGATAACATCTGCTCTACGGTATTGTGACCTGCAAACTCCAGATGCCTCGATTTCCTGAGTTCCAATCTGTCTCCTTAACTTAGTGGTGCCATCGTGTTCTGTTTGGGTTCCTTTCCCCGTGCCTTCTGAAAACTGCCTGTGCTTAGGAAGCCAGGACCCTCGTGCCCCTTCTCTCTGGGGTCGTAGTCCTACGCTGTCCTACAATGCTAACTCTTAACAACTCTACTTTTCCAAAAAAGCGGAACAACCGGTTTTCCACGCATAGTATTGGCATATTTTCACTTTTGATGACGAGTAACTCTGCTTCATTGTGTGTCTTTTGAATGAGCTGTGTCACCAGAATGAGTAATGACCTTGGATGTCAATGATTCGTGTGGAAATGTATTCATTTTTATTTCTTGGTTCATAATGCGAGTTCTCAAACTCATTTCACCAAACGACACTCCTACCATCAGTTTATGGCTCTTCCTGTCACTCTACACGACACTTACTGCCACAGTTCTGTCTTTTCCCACATGGCGGGCATAAAATTATACCTTGTTATGGTTTTCATTTGCATTTCCCTGGAGTATATTCTCTTATCTTTTCTGGCCATTTGTGCTTTCTTTCTATAAAATGTTTGTAACGTCTACCCAATTTTATATTTGGGTTGCTTTTGAAGTATTTCTCATTTAGCTTTTTTTTTTTACGTGTTCTCCTTTGTGGGTAATGTGTGTTCCAAATATCATCTATCATGATTTGTCTTTTCACTTTATTACATCTTTTTTTTTTATTACATCTTTTGAAGAGCAAAACTTCTTAGTTCTAACGTAGTCAGAAATAGCAATCTTTTCCTTTATCATGTATGTTTTTTGTGTCTGGTTTTAAAAAGCCTTCCCTATCCTGAGGTCTTAAAGGCATCATCCTTTACTTTCCCCTAAGATTTTAAAGTTTTGTTTTTCATGTTTCATCTTGTATCCACATTTTTTTAAATCTGTAGTGTGAGGTAGGAATTCAATTTCATTTATTTTCCATTTAAATTTTGTTTAACATTATTCATTTTTGAGAGACAGAGAGAGACAGAGTATGAGTGTAGGAGGGGCAGAGAGAGAGGGAGACACAGAATCCAAAACAGGCTCCAGGCTCCAAGCTGTCAGCACAGAGCCCGATGCAGGGCCTGAACTCACGGACTGAGAGATCATGACCTGAGCGGAAGTCGGACGCTTAACGGACTGAGCCACCCACGTGCCCCACATTATACTTTTATTCAACAATCTTACCAAATTATATTTTCAATTTAAATAATTTGTAGATTCTTTTGGGGTTTCCTATATTGACAACCAGGTCGTGTACAAATAATTGTATTTTTTGTGCAGTGGATATGTCCTCCTTGTTCTTCTTGATACATTCTCTCATTTTGTTGGGGTTAGTCCTGTCTTGATTTAAAAAAGAAAAAAGAAAAAAAAAGCCTACACACTAGAAATTATTATTGTTTTACACAGTCATGATTTTAGGTATTTCTTATTACTTGTTTCTTTTTTTTAATTTTTTTTTTAACGTTTATTTATTATTGAGAGACAGAGAGACGGAGCATGAGCACGGGAGGGGCAGAGAGAGGAGGAGACACAGAATCTGAAGCAGGCTCCAGGCTCTGAGCTGTCAGCACAGAGCCCGACGTGGGGCTCAAACTCACAAACCACGAGATCATGACCTGAGCTGAAGTCGGACACTCAACCGACTGAGCCACCCAGGTGCCCCAATTACTTATTTCTTTACTCACCGTATTTGTTTGGGTACGGGCTAAAGTGTGTTAACAGAGCTATCTCAAAATATAGCAGTTTAAAAAAAAGTTTATTTCTTACTTAATAGTCCAAATCGAGCCCTGATTGAGGTCTGCCACCCTTAACATGGGCTCATATCTCTGAGTCCAAGATGGCACCTCCACCTTTCTATCTTCCCTTTAGAAAGGGACAGGGCCAAAATGCATACCCGTGTCCCTTTGAAGGGCATCCCCAACAGCACACTACTACTTATATCTAATGGAACATAACTTAAATACATGGGCACCCTAAGCTTCAAGGGAAGCCGAGAAAGGCACTTTTTAAGTGGGTATCAACCCAGATTGCCTGGGATCCATTTTACCTGTTTGGTGTACCTATCTCCCAGCTACTCTGGGCACTGCTGCTAGAAATTCATAGGAGCTTCTTAGGAGGCTTGCCCTTGAGCACATGGAGCCACATTACAAAAGGTGACGAGGAGTTGCATTCTTACCTCCCTACCTCCCTACCTCCCATCCCTCCGGTCAGCCTGTGGCCAATGACATGGTGTTGCAGGGCACAAAAGCCCAGTCTCCCTTGCCTTAGGTCTGGATGGATTCTCTAATGTACGCAGACTCCAGGATCATGCTAAGCCTAGACTTCACCTCTAATCACATTCTTATTAAACTCCTTTGCCTTTCCTATCTGGCTTCCCTCACGTCCATACAGGTTCTTCCTGAAAATAACTCTCTTAATAGGTTACTTGAACATGGATCCCTGTCCCGGAATCTGCTCGTGGAGAAATGACCCAGCGAATGCTGGAGCTGGCTCACGAAAGCCGATTGCAAATCGTCGGGACTTTTATGAGCTGGCTGTCAAACACGGTCATTATTAAAGTGTTAATTATAAAAGCTGTCATTAAAGAAATTACACTCAAAACAGAGGTAGTAAATACTCAAAATTCATTACTTCCTAGTTATTTTCCTGTGTTTTATTATTACCTGTGCTCTTGAGGTTAGGTCTACTGTAGCTGTTATGGCAGAACTCCTTTAGAACGGTGTACATCTCTTCCCAACTCCAGATTCAGTAATGTCCTGTTGGTGTCTCGAAATCAGCCATGGTGGAAGTATTTACACCGTGGATATCTGCAAATGTTATACATCAGGGTTTTCCCCCCTACAGAGCTGCTTGTTCAATATTTGCAGGCACAACACCAGAATGACCTAAGACATCAGGCCATTGCCTAAGACACGGTATTATGGAACAGGAAGAGAATGGACGTCGGAGCCAAACTAGAATGTGTCACATTAACCTATTTTTTAACTGAGGAAAAATCTGCATATGGTGAAATACGTAGACCTTAAGTGCACAATCTAATGTTTTAATAAATATACAGATCCATATAACTACCACCTCAATCAAGCTATATACGATTTCAAAACCCCAGAAGGTGCATTTGGGCCCTCTTCAAACCCATCATAAGCAACCACCGATCACCTGTTGTGCCTGTTTGGTCTTCATATAAATGGAATCAAAACTCTGTATTCGTTGGGTCTGGCTTCTTTCACTCAACATAATGTTTTTGAATTTCCATCCATGTTCTTGGGTCAATCAGCAGTTTACTCTTTTTGATTGCCAAGCAGTATTTCATTGATTAGCATTCATCTGTTGATAGACACTTGAATTGTTTCCAGATTCTGGCTATTATCAATAAAAGATGCTAGGAACATTCATATGTAAGTCTTTGAGTGGACTTTCTATTTTCTTCCTATTTTCTTTCTGTGGCTTCTATTTTCACTTTCTTAATGGTGTCTTTCAGTGCCTTTCAAAGAGCAGAATATAATCATTTTGATGAAATCCAATCATTGATTTTCTTGTATAGTGCATGCTTTTTGTGTCCTATATAAAGAATCTTTGCCAACTCAAAGGTCACAAAGACTTTTCTTCTAAGTTTTCTCTAGAAGTTTCTCTAGATGTAGGTTTTACATTTAGTTCTATAATCCATTTTCAGTTAATTTTTACATATGATGCAAAGTTAGGATTGAGGCGCTTTTTTTTCCCTTCAATAGGAATGTCCTATTTTTCCCGTATCACTTACTAAAAAGACTATCTTTCCTACAGTGAATTGCCTTGGCAGTTTTGTTGAAATCAATTGGCCATATATGCAGAGATCTATTTCTAGACTCTATCCTGCTCCACTGATTTATATGTCTGCCCCCTCATGCCAATGCCACACTGTCTTGATTATTACACTTTTATAGTAAGTCTTAAAGTACAGTAGCTCTTTGTTTTGGTTATTCTACATCCTTTACTTTTCCATACACAGATTAGAACCAGCTTGTCAATTTCTACACAAAGCTCCACCTTGGAAAACGTGAACAAATTAGGAGGTGTAATGCTACCAAATTTCATGACTACCTATAAAAGCTACAGTAATTAGAACACTGAAAAGTTGGGGTAAGAATATACAAATCACAAAAAGGGGGTACCTGGATGGCTCAGTTGGTTAAGCATCCGACTCTTGATTTCAGCTCAGGTCATGATCACAAGGAGATCAGCCCTGAGTAGGGCTCCATGCTGACAGTGCAGAGGCTGACTGGGACTCTCTCTCTCTCCCCTCTTCTCTGCCCCTCCCCTGCACACGCGCACACACACACACACACACACACACACACACACACTCTCTCTCTCTCTCTCTCTCTCTCTCT